TATTCAAAATTCAGAGTGCAACCTTCAGAGTTGCAGCTGAAACCCTCAACCAAAATAATCTGCTGTTATTAACCAATGTTTTTTTGTTGTTGTTTTTTTTGTTTATTATTATTATTATTATTATTATTATTATTCCCAGCAAAACCTGGGAAGGTTTAATCTCATCTAGGCCCTGATAGACTAAGCTTTATGAAATATTTGTATTTTGAAGCAATGCTGCATAAGAACTATAACTGACTTCATGACACAAATGAGTTTATCTTCTTTAATGCAGAAAATAATCAGAAGGATGGAACCTTTTAAAATTTTAGTAAAGTAGTGATCGACTTCAGTAAATGTTGCTTATTAAACTTTAACAAAGAGTTTGAACATCAGAATAGAAAACTTTGCTTTTATTTTATATGTAGGTATCATGGAAGAACCTGTGCTTTCATCTTGCTGCAATAGTCTTCTTGGCTGCAGGGCTTGTGTGTGAGTCCTCTTCTTAGTGCCTACAGTGCAGAGCAGAGGGTTCAGCAGAAGGTCTTCATAAAGTGGCTGGTCTGTCCGCTGCTTTATCAGTCATCACAGACACTGTTGAGTAAAATCTTCAAGCTGACTGTGTTCTCAGAAGGTAGTGAGGTGTGTTCAGATACAGTAAAAAGGCTTGAACCTAGGTAAAATATTTTTTCAAGAATATTATTTATTTATTTATTTTCTCTTTTGTTCATTTGTTCCAATCACACTTTGATCCATGGTTTTGACCAAGTTGGCATTTAATAAAGTTTTACAAATGAAATCTCTGGTATACTTTTATGATGTTGTTAATGTCTTTTAGTGATTTTAATAAGATGAATTATTGCATCATGGAAAGGTTGGTGGTTATGATTGACAATAAAACTGAAATATCTGGGTACTCTGTAAATACTTGCTCAGCTTGAGCAGTGTGTAGCCAAAAGTGGACACTCTGGTCAGTGAGGATTCCAGCTCTACAGATGTTGGATGATCTTGGCAATCCATTTTGAGCTGGATCATTTGGTAAACCTCTTTTTACAAATGAATGAAAAAGTTGTGTCAACTTGTAACATCTGTGACTCATCTGTGATTAGCTTTCACCAGTTATACTTTTTAATCATCCTATTTATCAAGCTAATAAATTTTTTTAATAACGCAGGCCTAAAGCTGTGTGAGTAGGTGGGTGCATTTCCAAACTTATTTAACATACAAACCTGAAATTCTGTGAGTTTTCCAAGATTTATGACACTGCTAATAACTGATCTGAATGCCAAATTTGAGACACAGTATTTGATTTTGTTGTCATCCATTTTAATCAGTTCCTGCTCAGTCTGTCTGATCAATGCTTCTTTAATTGGATCACTTATCAGTTTAATAATATCAAGAAACTCTCTCCTCAAGAACCTCTCAATCATCAGTGATTCTATTGGCAACACATTAAGGGAAGAATGATAATTACATTGCTGTATGAGTTTTTTTTTTTTATCATTTAAAACAGCTGTTATTAGAAAACGGTCTGGTCGGTTAAAATAATCAGCCGATTGCAATTGATCAATTGTCATGAAAAGTTTCAGTGCATTTGCTGGTCCACCTCACTCTAATTGAACATTCTCCAGCTCATAATCTGGAAATCAATTGAAGTCCACCATCTTTAAGAATTTATTACCTGTGTAAAATGTAAATAGATGTAAATAAAAACAGAATGCAATGATTTGCAAATCACATAGACCCATATTTTATTCACAGTAGAACATAGAACACATATCAGATGTTGAAAGTGAGACATTTTACCATTTCATGAAAAACATTAACTCATTTAGAACTTGATGGCAACAACACATCTCAAAAAAGATAGGACCACGTCTACCATTGTGTAACAGTCTGTAAACGTCTGGGAAGTGAGGAGACCAATTGCTGGAGTTTTGGGAGAGGAATGTTGTTCCATTCTTGTCTGATGTGGGATTCTAGCTGCTCAACAGTCCTGAGTCTTTTTTGCCAGGTTTTTGGTTCATGATGTGCCAAATGTTTTCTGTTGGTGAAAGGCCTGGATTTCAGGCAGGCCAATTCAGCACATGGTGTCCATGGTTTCCAAAAATAATTTCAAATTTTATTTTTCCATTTTGCCTCAGTCCATTTTTATTGAGCTTTGGCCCAGAGAAGATGGCGGCGTTCTGGTTCGTGTTTGACGTATGGCTTCATCTTTGCATGATCCAGCTTTAACTTTTAATTTGTGGATTGCATGGCGAACTGTGTTCACAGGCAATGATTTCTGGAAGTGTTCTTGAGCCCATGCAGTGATTTCCGGTAGAGAATCATGCCTGTTTTCAATGCAGTGCCGCCTGAGGGCCCGAAGATCACGAGCATCCAAAATTGACCGTCATCCTTGTCCCTTGCATACAGGGATTTCTCCAGATTCTCTGAATCTTTTAATGATATTCTGTTCTGTAGGTGGTGGGATATCCAAAGTCTTCGCAATTTGATGTTGAGGAACATTTTTCTGAAATTGTTCCACAATTTTTAGATGCAGTTTTTCACAGATTGGTGAACCTCTGCCCATCTTTGCTTCTGAGAGACTCTGCCTCTCTAAAATGCTTTTTTTGTACCCAATCATGTGAGTTAGCTGCAAATTGCTATTTTTACTAGTACCACTTACTTTTCCAGCCTTTTGTTGCACCTGTCCCAACTTTTTTGTGATGTGTCGCTGCTATCAAGTTCTAAATGAGTTAATGTTTTTCATAAAATGGTAAAATGTCTCACTTTCAACATCTGATATGTGTTCTATGTTCTACTATGAATATAATATAGGTCTATGTGATTTGCAAATGATTGCATTCTGTTTTTATTTACATTTATTTACATTTTATACAGCATCCCAACTTCTTTGGAATTGGGGTTGTAGAAGAAAGTGACAAGAAAGTGAGGGACATCTCAGCTGGTAAAAAGAGTATCTAAAACACAATAGCAGGTAAGTAGTTGGGTAGCAACCGTACACATAAGTAATTCTTGAAATCCAAGCACCTGCTGAAATGGCTCAACCTCCAGCCACCTAAGTGTGACCTGATATTTGTTCATGTTTGGAAGGTCTGACAGAGGATGTCAAGGTAGAGATTCATGACTGTGTTGGTTTACATCATTAGTTAAGAGCAACCTAGGTGTGAGGGCATGCATATTAACGCTTGTTAGTGTGTGTGTGTGTTTGAGCAGGCTAGGTATGGCGTGAGGATGATTGTACTAGTGCTGATAAGGTGTGTGTGTGTGTGTGTCTTTAAGCAGGTTAGGTATGTGTGAGGGTGATTGTACTAGTGCTGATAAGGTGTGTGTGGTGTATGAGAATTTGTGTGGTATAGCCTAGTAGGTGTATTTGCGGGTGTGTAATAGAGCTGGTTAGGTGTGTGTGAGAGTGTATGTTTTAGAGCTTGTTAGATGTACAGTATGTGTGGGTGTGTGTAGTAGAGCTAGTTAGATGTGTGTGTGTGTGTGCATGTGTGTGTGTGTGTGAGCATGTGTGTGTGTGGTACAGTTGGTTAGATGTGTGTGCGGGTGTGTGTGGTAGAGCTATTTAGGTGTGTGTGTGATTAGCTCCTCATAAGCGCTGTTCTGGACGCTGTCCAGGGTCCTGCAGGATCTTGAACTCTGTGCTGCTGAATTAGAGCGACTGCAGCTGATCTGAGGGCTTCGAGCACCCAGTAGGAGTTTCACATCATCAGAAGAGCATCAATTTCCATTCATCCTGATTCTCTGTGTAGATAAATGTAAGTCTTTGAAAATCTTATCTACTCAGTTTGTCTCATTATAACTTAATCTGACGTCCCAGATCAGTGCAATATTTATGCTGGCCTTGCTGGAAGTACCATGCCCCTAGTCATCCTAAGCATCTACTCAAATAATTTCAGGAGAACCAGAATTCTGTTTCTGGCTTTTACTTTAATTTTCTGATTTATTTTTCTTTCTTTTCTTGTAAAAATGTAACAAGGCCAAATGACACATCGACATTACAAGCATGTCAAGATAAGTATTTACAGCAAATGTATCACAGTAGATAAAGGTGAGTATGCTAACAGGTAAACACAAGATGAGCATAGAAGATTAGTTTAGCAGTATTCATATGTTAACATCTAATAAAGTAAACAGTGGGCATTCTCATGCAGCTGTGAAACAGTGGGAGTTCTCATGCAGCTGTGAAAATTTAATATTTATATTTATTATATAATATTATATATTATTTAATATATGTCTTACAGTCATCTATAATACTTGTGTAGTATGTTATACTATACTTTATATCTTTTTTCATAAGAAATAGTTCCACTAAAAATGAATGAACTCGTCAAATCGAATTACCTTTCCAAGAACAGTGTGGTTAATTTTGATTCTCATAGTAGCCAGTATGTGACAGAAAGATACTGGACACAGTGAACACAGGGGCTGCTGGCTATAATTATGTTTGACTTCAAAGCCTTTGATACACTTTTTACAGGCGTATTTCTGTACTAGCAGTCAATTGTCCAGCCAAACTAGCCCATTACTAGAGGTGTAAGTAACGAATTACATTTACTTACATTTACATTTAATTTTTAATAAAATACTTCTAATAACAAAGCACAGTGTAGCGTGCTTTGCTGTTTTAATTCATAAACGGATCAGAACTTTTTGAGCAAAGTGAGTCTGCGGCAGGATGTTTAGAAGGACCAATAGTAAATTTATGGCTGACTGCTAAAGACATGTCTCACAGCCCCCATTTGCCCCCCCCCCCTTTTTGGCAACCTGGTGCAGAAGTGGGTAGGGGGGGTGGCTCCCCTCAGAACAGACCTACTTTGACCCAGAGGTCTGAAGACTTTCTTTTTCTTTTGACTAACAGTTTAAGGGCAACATAATGGAACGTCATGCCACCCCTTTATAAACATCCTGAAGAGACCTTTGGACATCACTGAAGTAAATTTTAGGATACTGATAAATTGTGACTTTTGAAAATTCCTTTCCCTCTCTCTCACACCCATACATCTCACCTTCCCCCACAAAGAGAGACATCTTACCTAAAACAAAGGCCAAACATGGACCACCAATCAACTCTGGGTGAGGGGACTGTTGAGACCTCACGAATCCCTGAGCAGACCCCTCGGTGTGGCCAGATACTCTTAAGTGCATTCCTTCAGTATCATAAATTTGGGGTCTGTGCAGAGGCTAGGCTCCTGAGAGCCCTGCTTTCTGGCAAATTATTCACAATGTGATCTTTAATCAAGTATCAATCAAATGCCTTTCCTTTATCAAACTGTGAAGAACACCTCTGTTACTGTTAACATGTTGCCTTGTCAGGCGTGAATTGATTAATCCCTGCCAAAGGGAATTAATACCTAACTTTCTACACTATATTCTTTTATATTCTAGTAGTTATTTTGATTCTTGGATTGTAACCCTTCCTCACTGATCTAGGTTATTGTATTCATCTTTGATCATTCACAGCTATGTTCATTTCACCCATTATATAATTTTTCTTTTTCTTTTGTTTGAGAAACAACCCATGTATTTCATGATCACTGTTAATCTTATATATCTGCTTTTCTTGCAAGTCTTCTTGTAGTGTTATTAGAAGTAGGATTCTAAAGTTTGTAGCTTGTGTGACTATGTACACTTTAATCATAGAGTTTCTCCCAACATATTTACAGAATTATTGATGATTACGTACTCACTTATTTTACTCTGAGTTATTATGTAACCGTTCATGTAAGCATTGTTTAGAAATAGTAATGTGACATATAACCTCGAAATTGACTTAACAATTTAATTCTTTGTCTAAGTAGTTCCTACTTTTTATATGACTAGAATGGTTAAGGATTCAACTTATTGTATGTAACCATATCATGGTTAACGTTAAGGGATAATGATCTGTAAGCTCCATAGTCATTTGCAATAGTCACTATGGAAACAATAATGTTTTATATGTGACATTGCATGCTTCTTTTACTTAAGTGTAACCACACCCAGAATCTCCAAAGGATTATGTGACACTTGAGCAGCATTCAAAGAAATTGCATATTCATTATAGGTAACCTAACAAACCAACCAAAACCTTTTCCCCGCCTTAGCTCTGCCTTAGCTCCGCCCCTCAAAGTTCTTTCTTTAAAGCCAGCAAGAAAGAGAAACAGAGGGGAGAACGAGAAGAAGAAACGGAAAGACAAGGAAGAGTTGGCCCCGAAGGGAGCAAGACAGCCAACATGTAACCTTAACGAAACTCCAAGTAGAGAAGCTCGTTCACCTCGTTTTGCACTTTAGCTAAGTTCTGCAGATCTTAAATGTTAGTTGTTTGTCTTGTGTCTTAATCCGTTTTGTTTCATTTACTCAGTAATCTTAAAGTGTTGTAACTGTAAGTTTAGACTGTTGAAGAGCTGCATCCAGCTGCGTTTGTTTTTCAAGTTTTGTCAATCTATTTTGAAAGTCTACTTGCCAACGATAGACCGCTCAGAACCTAGTTTTAGAACAGAAACAGAGGCAAAACAGTGCTGACTGAAATCCACATCAAGAGACTGCTCCGACCACCGCCTGCCTCCATCGCCAAGAAGAAGATCTGCGCTCCTCACCGGAGAGGCCGCCAAGCGTCGCCGGAAGCCTGTCTTGCCAGTGGGGTCCGGTCCAAAGCGTTGACCAAGGGCTTGCACCTCTAGCGGCCTTGCCTTTGACCTGCAGACCCTTCAGATGACACGCGCATTAACACGGCTCTGAGGCGTCCAGCAGCTTTGACCTTTGACCTGCGGACCCTGCTCCAGCCCATGCCAGCAGCGGCCTCTCTTCCCCTCAATGCGACACGCGCATCCCCACAGCTCTGAGGCATCCAGGTCGTAGATTCACTCGCACTGCCCTTTTGTGGTCTCAGTCTCACTGTGATTTTGCTTTTCTTTATTGACACTTAGGCCAGCTTTACACTAGTGTTAGGGTTATTCTGCTTGCTGCTCAAAAGCCACATAATTTGAAAAATCAGCTAATCTTAGTACTTTTGTTCAGTATATTCAATATCTCTGGTTTCTTTCCATAACTAGTAATCCAGTATTTAGCACCTATATACCTTTGTAATCGATTGCTTTGTTTATATACCTCTATCAATAAATAACCCTTTATTACAGTCATCTCTGTCACAGTGTGCATATGAAAAACTTTTTGGTTCTGTTCCCTGGACCATGGTCAAGCCCTCACTTGAAGTTAATTAAAATACCCATGTCTTACGGTAAGTGGGAAATTAGGTGCTTTTGAGGCCTTGTCCCGCTACAACGGTTAAATTTAAAAGATTCACCAATCAAAAAACAGCAGCTCCGGCAGGAAAAACACTACAGAGAGGTCCAGTTTAGTGGAGCTGTTTTGGAGATAAACGTTTTGGACAGTGATTCTGTCGCGCTGTTGTTGACTGGCCTGATCTGATCCCTCCCCACCTCCTCGCCCTCTCTCTCTCTCTGTCTCTCTCTCTGTCTCTCTCTCTCTCTCTCTCTGCCTTGGTGTTTGTCTTTAACTGTGAGAGGTTGTGTAGCTGTTTAACTGTGAAATGCAGTAATAATGTCTGATTCTGTATGAAGTGATCAGCATGATTATTAGTGAAATATATTACAGTAATCATCAACGCTGGGTAAGTTTCTGATGTTGCTGCTGATTTTCTAAACAGATATCAGTGAAAATACACAGTTTGAAGGCTGTGAAAGTTGAACACCTATTAACGTAAGTCCAGGGAGCTGATGGGCAGCAGGACTCTCACTAAAATTACATTATTAATTAAGCAGTTTACTCATAATTTTGACTCAGTTTTTTCTCTTAAATGAACTTAATTAAACAGTAACATCCTCTGCACTGTCTTTCATGGATTCTAAACAACTTTACTGGAAACAGATAAACTAGGAAGTCTTATATAATCATCTAACCATGAAATGCACACAGTGTAATGTAAACCTTGTTCCTTACACAGCTCAGAGAAAGGTGTGTAAATGTGCTCTAGCAGAGCAAACTGTGATCAGTCTCAGCTCTCAGAACTTTAGCTTTAATGTTTTTCTGTACAGATTATTTCCAACGATGTAGCCGAGTCAGCTCAGAAATATGTTCAGGTTGTGACATATTCATGTAAAACACTGCCATGCTGCTAAACAAAATGAAGGCTTGAGATTGGCATGTCAAAGAAAGAGATGTTTAGATGATTTTATCTTATCGTAACGTATCCTATCCCATCTTATCTTATCTTATACTAGCTTATCTTATCCTATCTTATACTATGTTATCTTATCTTAAACTAACTTGTCTTATCCTATCTTATCCTAGCTTATCTTTCTCTGTTATCTTATACTATCTTATACTAACTTATACTATGTTATACTAGCTTATCCTATCTTATATTATGACTGTTATCTTAAACTAACTTGTCTTATCCTCACTTCTACTAAATTATTCTATCTTACATTATCCTATCTTACACTAACTTATCCTATCTTGTACTAACTTACACTATCTTATTTTACACTAAACTTATCTTACATTATCTTTTATATTGTATTATTTTTATATGTCTTATGTGGATGAAGGGGTGAAAGGGAAAGAAGGAGAAGCTAACAATAGAGGGGAAGGAAATGAAAGGTTGAGAGATTCAAATTAGTGCTGGGATGTTAGACGGCCTCCAGGATCTCCAGGAGTTGCTGAATGTGATAGTAAAGATGCTCCCACACACAGCAGCCAGACTCCAAGGGTCTGCATAGACACACCCCTCCAAAGAAAAGATATCATCCAAGAGAAGAGACATCTTGTTCTGAGAGACACACAGAGAGAGAGAGAAACTGTTATCAAATGTGGCGAACTATTCTGGAGTTCTAAATCAGTGCACTTGTATATTGTAATAGAGACTGATTGTTACCTGGACAAGGTGACATTTCGCTGTTGTTGGAAGAAAACCTCGTACCTCCAAAATATTAACTTTACAGGAAAAGGAAAAAACCTACTTTACTTTTAATGTAAGTCAATGGAACCAGAATTTTTCCAAGTCATTCTGGGCCATTTCCTTTGGTCCATTCTTTATGAAATGTACAAACAATGTAAAAAGCAACAGGCATTTACAAAAATGGAGATACGAGGTTTTCTTTCGACAGCAGTGATATACTCCTCATCTTTGGGCATTCTGTGCTCATTGACGACAGAGATTGAGTACAGTGTGGCCATCAGATGACAAAGAAAGCATCTTGGCCTCTGGAATAGAGTGAGAGATGAAAAAGATGTGAGCAATGCCATGTAGTTACTTTATGCTCTTATGGATCAGCACTTTCACAGTATTAATCTACAATCAGTGTTTAATCAGGCTTTCACATCTTATTGATGTAAAATGATGTATAGATGCAGGTGACTGATCCTACATCAGCACTCTGGGACATTCTGTACTGTTCAAGCCCTAAGCTTGAGCACATGACATACACTCTACAGCAAAAAACATTTTCTTACTGAAAAGATTGGAGGCCTTGCTCCTCTCTGGACTCCAAGCAGCACCAACTCATAGATGATGTCTATAAAGTTGAACTGCTGAATCTGAAACTAAAAGGAAGCACTCGTGTCACAGCACATATCACTGTGACATCAGATGTACAAATCGCATTACTATAAAATGAAATGAAAGAAGTGTGAGGAAGGTAAGGACAGGACACACATTACTACTAAAAGACAGTGAGCCTAAAATGTAAGAAATTATGTGGTGCAATTACAGTGAAAGTGCTGTGCATATCAGGATGAAGAGCAGTGTACATCCTCACCATTCTCCTCAATGACCACCTAAAATAGAGGGCACAATATACATTTTAGTGGTTATGTCAGCACATATACAGATAAAAACATATTAATAAACTGTTATTTCAGGTAAGTGTGGTTTAATGAATCATTTACATCAGCCTGGGCTCTATCACCAGGTCTGAAACAAAAATGTCCAAGTCATTTAAATGGCAGAGTGTCTAAATAGGGGCTTTCAGAGTTACAATTCCAACAGTACACTGTAAAAAAATGTACAGTAGAATTCACAGTAAACT